CCCCCGCCGTGCTTGAAGATTGCATCCGAAACGAGATGTACCACGAGGCCCTCATGGTGCTGGAGCACATAAATCGGTCCGCCCAGACAATGGCGACGGTGGCGTTGTTTCGTCGCGTTGAAATGGAGGCGCGCTGCAATTTGGAGAGGGCGCTGTCCGAAATTGTGCTCCCACGTTTGGCGGAGCAATTAACTGTCGCTTCCGCCGTGAAGGTGACGACATTCTTCCGCAGACTCGGGGTCGGGGAGGGTCAGGTACGGCAGCTTTTCCTTTGGAAGCGTGCGGAGTACGTGGATGGACTGCTGCGTGAGGCAGAGGAAAGCGGGGTGCCGTACTCGCGCATTTTCAGGTACGTGACAGCCTTCAAGGTTCACGTGACGGAGACGATCCTGCAGTACGCCGCCTGTTTTTCCCCCACGATTGAGAATGGGTCGTGCAGCGAACTTGCTGCCTGGTGCCATGAAAGAGCGTACGTCTTTCTTGAGGGCTTCCGTGCATCGTTGGAGAAGATTACAAACGGCTCCGAATTGGCTTCTGTCATTGAGGAATGCAACAGCTGCTGCGCCACCACGACGCTGCTGCAAATGGATGTGTCAGGGCTCATTAACGAATCTCTCATCTCCCGTGCTAGGGCGTTGTTTGCCGAACAGATCGTCTTGGCCATGCAATCTTACTCCGCCTCCATGCTGGCATTTTCGTGGCGACCTTCGAATGGGCTGCAGTGTGCTTCCTCACAAAAACGAGTTGAGGCAGCACCATCATCTTCAAATGGGATCATGTCACCCCCATTGAGTCTTGTGCAGTGGTTGCCGCTTGCGTATGCTCTGAACGGAGTGCTCACTGCCTTCAATACAATCCGCAAATGTGTTGTCCCGGGTGTGGAGTTGTTTTGTGCCGCCAAGTTGGAAGGACTACTGCAGACCATAGCGAAGGACCTTTCACGCGACAAGGATCTTCTAATGGCCATGGAGGGGGGCGAGAAACAGTTCTATCTGCTCTTTGTGGAGGCCTTTGTTAATGATTTTTATCCTCATGTATTGGCGTGCATGCGAGAGCTTCTGGGTGAAGATGCACAACGTCTTTTAATAAATGGCGTGCGGGAAAGCATTGAGAGTCTCCGGAGTCTTCTTTTTATGGAGAGCAGCACGAAGCAAAGTGGAGCCCCGCAGCAACAAATGACGGATGCCGCCGGGACTCCCGCCGACATTCAAGGCGACAGAATCACCCCAAACGTTGTTGGCGCATGACAAGCTCGGGAGGGTTTTTGGCTAGGAAAACCCTTCTTGGTTGCCATTGTTGGCTTTGCAGCTGATCTGTGGTTGACGTGCGACAATAAAAGAGAGTGCGAGAATGAGAAGGCGCTGCTTTGATCTTTTTGTTTGTTTGTTTGTTTGTTTCTCTGCCCGTCTTCTCTGTCGTTGCTGCATCTTGTTGTATGCGATGTGTATGTGCGTGACTGGCGAAAGGGAGGGAGGGGTTGTGATGTGGGGGGTGGTGGTTGTGGATGTCGCTGTTTGTTTTTGTGTTGATTTCTTTTCCCCGCATCGACGTGACTGCAGTGGCGGGGACGACCCAATTTTCTCTTTTGACGCCTTTTATCCTTTTCCCGTCTCGCAGGAAGGAAAGGGGGCAACAGAGCCGTGGGTGAAGAAGAAAGTTGCACCTCCGTGCAGAGAAGCAAACAACCAACCAAACAATATACATACACACACACATATATATATAGAGGAAGAGACGCGCCGCTGGCGGGGCGTGACGTTTGAAAGTGGAGGAGGGTGAGGCAAACCAACGAAAAAAAAAAAGGAAGACGGGGGAAAACGAAGAGAGGAAGATGATCAGTTCCCGCTACGGCCAGGTGGGTGCCATGCTCACCGTGTCGCACGAGGTGGTGAACCGTGTCGCGATGACGCGAGAGGAGGACACTCAGGCCGCATACCACGTGGCAAAACGTAATTACCAACTGACGCTAAATCGCATTTCCTCTTGTCTGCCACCAGCGCCAGCGACAATAAAATCTCTGGCGCAGACGTTAGACAAGAACGATTTGAGCAGTTATTGCAGCAGCACTTCCCCGAGCTTGAGTGCCACGCGGAGGGAAAAAGAGGGCAGGGACGATGAACTGGACTGCACAGAAATCGATGAGTTACTCTACGCCCGTGCACTCAAACGCCAAGAGGAAGACGCGAAGGGCGGGCCCTTGTGGAAACGCGATAATCAGCAGCCGCTGGATACTTTTTTGCGCCGTGAGGCTCTTGCCCGATCCGATATTGAGGAAGTTGAGTACGATTTCTACCGCCGCATCACAGGAGCGTTGAGGTCCCACCCATCCATCTGGACAGTTGAAATTACGGATGCTGAGCGCCGTGCCCGGAAGGAAATTGAGGATGCATGGATGAGTGCGTCGCTCCCATTTCTTGAGAACTGCTCTATAAAGCAGGTGGAGTTCATCGAGGAGTTGTGGCGCCGCGCCTTTGGCAAAAACCGGCCACCACGGAGGGCGCAACTTGCCAAGGAGGAGGAGGAGGAGGCTCTCGCGTTGGATGTAAGGCTTTGCCACCCGCTGCTGCAGCGCTGCGAGACGATACGGCGTGAAACGGAGAGCGAGGAGGAAATTGCTTATCTTTACTTGCGGCTGGGCGAGGCGGCACAGCGGGATCTCGTGGCGCGTGGAGTCATGCGGTGCAACCCGGGGACGGGGCTCCTGGACTCTGTGTCCCACCCCATCTCGGCACTCCACTACGACGAGGTCGACTTTGCCTTCGGGGCCGAGTTCCGTTATCTTCAGTCGCTCGAAGAGACGCAGCGGATGGAAATTATCGATGCGTCACTCGCGGCAATGGATGAATTATGTACAGCAATGATGGCAACGTGACTCGAAACGCCCTTTTTTTTTCCCCCCTTCCCGTGTGTGCGCGGGAGGAGGCGTACGAGTAGTGGGAGGAGGGGGCGGAAAAGGGTAAAATACCCAACGAATCACAAAAAAAAAGAATGAATTGCATCAATACTTCTGAGTTTTCGGAAAAATTGGCATGTACACTGCCGTGCGACCCCCTCGCGCATTTCTTGTTTGTTGTTGTTGACTTTTTTTTTTTTTTTCTTGCTCTTGTGTTTTTTCTCTTTCCCCTTCTTGAAGTGCTCTTCCTTTTTTTGTGTGTTTTTTTTTTCTTTTGGCTTTTCCTTCACGCAAACAACAACAAAAACAACAAAATGAAGAAAAAAAATTGAGTTTACGCACCGCACTCATATGTTTGTTTTCTTCCTTCTGTTCACTGCGGGAGGGATGTCTTCTCCCCCGCACAAACCACCCGTTGGCTCTCATGTTTTTTTTCTTTTCTTTTCTCTCCACCCGACCCACGCCCAGTAGTTTTGTGCTCCTCCGTGTGGGGCCAATAAGAAAAAGAAAAGCAAAACAGAGGGAGTAGAAGAAACAACAACAGCAACAAAAAACAGCGGGAAGGGGAGGGGGAGGAAAAAAAGAAAGGAAGGGGTGAATGAACATTGGTCCCAACAGCGGCAAGGCGGCGCGCTACCAGCCAACGCCGCAGGTGCAGAAGAAGGAATTGGTGCACCGCAACCCAAACCACGTCGCGAAGGACGTGTACGACGCGCAGTGTGGTGTGAACCCATTGTTGGCCCGGCTGTACAGCGACGGCATCTCCAGTGGCGCCCGACTTGGCGTGCCGAACCGCCTGGCGCAAGACGTTCCGTGGACGCCGGACTTGGTACGCGGCAAACAACAAGTTGAACCATCCGCGATTTTGAAGGGCGTCCCAGTGGCGCTCCAAGAGGATCCGCAGGCATCACGGACTTCGCTGCCGCCGACACCACCACACCGCACTCTCCAGTTGTACAAACAGCCCAAATACCGTGAGGATGAACTCAAGCGGATCCTAACTATCAGCTTTGCTGAGAATAAAGCGGCAACACTGTCTTTTAAGCGAGCGCCGTCCAATTCTGCTCAGCCAAATCAATCTGCTGCCGCCACCATGCATGCGAAAGGGGAGGGCGAGGGGTTGGAGACTGGAGACGGCAAAGTGACTCTGGCACAGGGCGGCTCTATCCCACGCTTCACAAAGTTACGGTCAAATGCACCGAATGAGTTTACATACCTTGTCATGCGGCCACGGGGAATCCGAGATCCGTACAATCCGTACGACTTGCAAGTCGTGTCGCATAAAGACATTGATCCCATGCACTATTACACTGTTTCTGCAGCGGGTGTGACAAAATTTAGTGGGCATGAAGCTGAATTTATTGAGTTACACACATGGGAGCGAGATTGTCGGATCTTTAACCAGCTGAGGCAACTGGAGGTTTTTCGGGACTACAAGAAGTGGAAGAGTTTTATTGTCTGGCGAGGACTTGTTCGTAATCACGCCATGTCTAATTGCAAAACATTTCTTACGAAAAATCTATTTCACGTGCACCCGCAACTCTCCGGCGCATTGTGGGCTGTATGGCGAACTTGTTTGGAATGCCTCAACAGCAACAGGATGCATCTCCCGGCGACGGAAACCCGTACTTTGGAGGGCTTTTGTGCGGCGGCGGCGGCTCATTTGAACTTTCAACGAAATCGCTTAGAAAAGATGATTAAGGGCATTCGAGACACTGTGGAACGCGCATGCAAGGCGGCCATGTTGGCCGCACAGATGGAACGCGAGAGCGTCAGTGCCCTTCACGCCGAAGATGAGAAGAAAAAGAGGAAACTCATCGATATTCGCGAATTGGGGACGCAGCAGAAGCCTACTTACATTGAAATGTCACAAAAAAAGGCTGTCTGCCAGCGTCTCACCGCATTCATTCGTTTATGCGACCACATTATTATTCACTGCCTGACAAACTTGGCCGCAAGAGCCGTAGAGGATGTCTACCACGATTTTTGTTACCCCAAGACCTCCGTTGTGGCACAAACCGCCGGAAGACGGCCCTC